ATCTTTTGGTCTTGTTCTCTTATTTTGCTCTATTTCACAACACACCACCAGCCAAAGCTGACTGGCAATGTTCACCCCTGCCACAAACCTACAGTCACCAATCTTATTCAGGTTACTACCTCTCATAATGTTCACCTGCTCTGCATCCTTCTTAAGTCCAGCTCAACTCAGATTATTGAAAGCTTTTTGCCAGTAAAAATCCATCGTATCTTGTTCTGACTCCTGACCATGACCCTAAGCCTTGATTTTTGACTTCTCGCCTTGCCTTGCCCTGCCCTTTCTGGATTTTTCTGTTACATCTGACCACAATATAGACCTTATCTTTCTCCTCCTTCAACTACGCCTTTGGATCACATTCTGGTATCAGCTCTCTGATATTCTGTGTATGACCCCTGCAAAATTTACTGGACCCTGTCTCTGGATCTGCCCTACTCAGACCACGGTCAGCACCAGGGTCTGCACTCCTGCTGCAGCTCTCACTGCACAGGGAACATCAGCAGGTTCAGTGCTTCTTCAGCTCTTGCCCAACCACAGACTGAGAAGTCTAGTGACTTATTCACAGCAAGTCTCAACTGCTCTGCATCGTTCTTAAATCCAGCTCAACTCATACTCAGTGCCAGATTATTGAAAGCTTTTTGCCAGTAGAATTCCATTGGATCTTGTTCTGACTCCTGACCATGAACCTCATCCTTGTTTTTCGACTTCTCGCCTTGCCTTGCCCTGCCCTTTCTGGATTTGTCTGTTACATCTGACCACAATATTGACCTTATCTTTCTCCTCCTTCGACTACGCCTTAGGATCATGTTCTGATATCGTCTCTCTGATCTTCTGTGTATGACCCCTGCAATGTTTACTGGACCCTGTCTCTGGATCTGCCCTCCACAGACCATACTTCGCACCATGGTCTGCTCTCCTGCTGCAGCTGTCACTGCACAAGTGATGTCACCAGTTTTGTCAAATAATGTTGCATTTTGTAAAATCAGTTTATTGCCCAGATTTATAAAACCAGTTTGTGTCCTCTGAGCACAGACTGTGTGTGAGTGTGTGTGCGTGTGTGTGTGTGAATGCAGCAAGAAGGCCGTAAGGTTGTCGGTGCTTTTCGTGTTGGCCATCCATGAACTTGGTGGTGGACACCCCAGGTTAGGGAGGCTGTCAAGCTGAAGAAGGAGTCCTATCGGGCCTTGTTGGCGAGTGGGACTCCGGAGGCAGCTGAGGAGTACCGGAGAGCCAAGAGGTCTGCAGCCTTGGCTGTTGCTGAGGCAATAGGTCTGATGTGGGAGGAGTTTGGTGAGACCTTGTATAGAGATTCTGTTCCTCGGGGTACACAGGGGGGGGGGGGGGCTGTGGGGGTATGGGATTGGGGGCCCATTGTTACAGGCTGTTCAGTCCCTATACAAGCAGTGCGAGAGTTTGGTTCGCATTGCCAGTTGTAAGTTTGACCCTTTCAGGGTAGGAGTTGGTCTCTACCAGTGCTGCCCCGTTGTCACCGATACTGTTCATAACTTTTATGGACAGAATTTCTCATTGCAGCCAGTAGGCAGAGGGTTTCTGGTTTGGTGTCCTCAGGATTCCATCACTGCTATTTGCAGATGATATGATCCTGTGGGCATCACCGTGCCGTGATCTTCAGCGCTCACTTTAGTGGTTCGCAGCTTAGTGTTAAATTCCACTAGGACGTTAAACCCCAAAATACATTACGACAAAGACTGGTTCATCCCAAAGATCCAGTCCCCCGGCACAGAGTAATATTGTGTATGCTGTTCAGTGGCAGGAGGGCTGTGATCAGTCTTACATCAAGGAAACTAAACAGCCACTGGCCTAAAGGATGGCCCAGCACAGAAGAGCAACAACATCAGGCCAGGAAATCTGTGGTCTACACTCATCTCTAGGCCAGAGGTCACTCTTTCATGGATGAAGATGTTCACATCCTGGATAGAGAGGAACGATGGTTTTAGAGAGGAGTAAAGGAGGCCATCTTTGTGAAAAGAAATTGTCCATCATTAAACAGGGGTGGAGGCCTTCGTGTTCAACTGCCCCCCTCTTACAATGCTTATTGCTAATATCACTCAGCCCTCTGTGATTAGTAAACAGCCATTAGTGTGCTAATGATCCATCGTTAGGCTGATGGTCCTTCTTGATCATGTGAGCAGCTGGTTTTGGTTGTCAGCAGCAAAACTGGTTGATCCACTCTGAGAATGTGCTATTTATAAGACTGAGCTGAATACAGCACCTCAGACTGAGGCCCTATTTACACAAACACGATGGGGGGAAACGTAGGTTTTTTCCTATGTTAATTAGAGGAAAAGATCCGCGTTGACACAGTCGGATTTTGTGTTTACATGCATCCGGAGGAATCCCCCCCGCCCTTCCGAATCCGTTGTAGTTACCATGCCAGGTCATTAGTTGGCGCTGTGAATTTACCTTCACCTAATGCGCATGCATGCTGCCTCGGCCCGCTCCTTTCCTGTGAGCTAAAATCTAAGCTAGCAACAATTTAACAACAAGTTAAAGCTGGATTTTGGCTGGATTGTGGATAAGAGTCGACAGATTTGAGGCCAAGCAGGACCACTTCATCTAACAGCTCCACACCGGTCGCTGAGTGGCCCAGAACCGAGTTGACAATGTGGAACTTTACTCCGAGATAATCAGTAGCTGATTTACAGCAGGTAAATCAACGTTCTTAATAATGTTTGCTTTTGTTTACTTCGGTTACAAAACAACCAAGTTTTTATTTTTTCCTGAAAGAAGAAGAAGTTGTCTCCCACCAGGGGGACTGGTTCTGAACGAGGCTCAGCCCAGGTGCAGTGCAGGAGGACGTTGAAGAGAGAGATGTTGGATGAACTATTTATTTAAAATTATCCTCATTTCTTTCATTCAATCCATTGAATGTTTTAAGCTGCATTAATCAAAGGAGTGACAGCCTGAACGAGCCAGATGAACAATGTGGGACCAGATTCCAGGATGAAAACAAGAGTCCAGTTCATTAATGCAGTTTACAGTTAACATGTTTTTATGTGTTCAGTTTAATTATCAGTGTTTGTGTGACATACAGTTTGTGGTGTTGAATAAATAAATAAAATAAAAAATTAAACCTGATGTATTCATTTTCAGCTTTAATAACACTCAATATGTTTAGCATCATTGTAATCACATAATTTGAATTACGTAATGTCCAGATAACTTCATTTAGCTCAGAGAGCTTCAATATATATCTTAAACTTAAGATAAATACTGTTTATTTTTATTAAACTTGTTATTTAGCACATTTATATGTTATAGTGCAGCGTAACGTGTGCGCGTGCCACGTTCTATAAACAGCGATATTAGAACTGGATCAGATTGTGTCTCTTCCAACACAGATGTCAGTCACAGCACCTGGAGTCTGACGTAGATTAACTACAAGATTAAAAATATATTCCATCAGTCGTATGATCTGAGTCAGATCATCACAGGTTTCAGTCAGAAAGCACTGTGTTTGCCGCCATGTTGATAGAAATATAGCGTCTGTCTATGCGTGCGCATGTGGTTTAGCACAAAGCCTCAGCGGGAGATGTTTACATTATCAGCGGGCGGTCATCGAAAAACCTCGACTCTGGAAGGTGGATTCAGGAACCTCTGGATTCAAAGAGGGGGGCCACTGGTGTCGTGTAAATGATCAGCAGAACCGCAGAGAGAAAGAGCGGATTCACTCAAAATGTGTGCCGTGTAAACGGCCCCTGAGGAAGCCTTTCGGATGAAAGACAAAACGTTTCTAAATTTTTTTTGTTGTTTTGCTTTGTTTTGTTTTTTTGAATGTCCAGAGGACCAGATTGAATTTTTTTTAGATTTTTCTACCTGGATTATTGAGCATGCATCAGGATTAGTTGAAGCAGATGTAAAATTTTGTTGAACAGAAGTAAAAAGCATAAAAAAACGATGATGAGAAAATGATGGAAAGATGGCTAAAACGATAAGTAGAAAGAAAATGTCAACGGTTCATTAGCATTTAATAGAGAACTGGGGAAATTAGGTGAGCTGGAAGAAACAGGATCAGAACATGGTCAAATACATGGATTTCTTAACCAACAGGCTACAATTTGTGACGAACCAGAACTTCTCCTCCTCCACCATAATCATTAGCACTGGCTCACCTAAGGGCTGTGTTGAGCCCCCACCTGTTCACTTGCTCACATATGACTGTGCACCTACCCATCCAGGCTGTCATATTGTAAAGTTTGCAGACAATACAGCAGTGGTTGGATGCATTACAAACAATGATGAGTCCAGCTACAGGGCAGGAGGTGGAACACCTGGAGAGCTGGTGCAGGAAGAACAACCTCCACATCAATGTGAAGAAGACAATGGAGATGATTGTCGATTTCAAAAGGCGCAAACACCCCCCCCCCCCCCCCACACACACACACACACACACACATACATAGGAGGATCTGCAGTGGAAGTGGTCTCCAGTTACAATTACTTAGGTGTGCACTTGCATGACAACCTCAGCTTGAACCTTAAACCTTGAACTATGATATCACATCTCAGATATGGGTGCAAAGGAATAAATAAGACATTATTGAAATTAGGTAAACATTACAGGTAAATATGACTTTTGTGGCAAATATGAGACTAGAGCATATTTAAATATACAATAGTTGAAAAAAAAACATCCATGGACAAACATTCAACTTACAGTCAGTCTTACTAAAATGAAAGTGAAGTTACATCCTGCTGAAAAATTACAGATAAATTTAAAAAATCATACAGATTTAGTGCATTATCTTAAACAGTAAGTTTGTTTGATAGGACATGTGTTTGTTTTATTTATTCATATATTAGCATCACTCCAATCCACACATTTTACCACTCGGTGGTGGTAATGCACCAAATTGTTGTTTGGCAACCACCAAAGAATCCTGAAGAAGAACACATTTCTGAAGAGAGAGCTAATTAAAGCTGATGAGCTACAGCTGTAAAACTGGGAGAATAGAGTTTTTAAACCTCAATGTTGTCCCCTTCTCACAGTTAGTGTCAAGAACCATGGGAGGCAGTTGGTTCTTGGTAATTTCTCTAGTGGCAGTGTGGCTCAATGAAGGTTTGTATATATTCCCTTTGAATTGTGTAGTGAATTTTAGTTGTTAAAGTTGGGACTTGTGTTTAAAGTGAGGATGGAAAAAAAATAGAATATTTTTACCCATCCAAAGAGTAAGTTTGCAGGAGAAAATGTACATGATTGCTTGGAGATTTTATTTCAAGCATATGGAAAAGTAGTATTTACCAGATATATTAAACGATTTATGTACATTTTATTGACTTCTGATTTTAACAAAATGCTGTTTAACCAACACAAAAAAATGGTAACTGGCCTTGCAAATACAACTGACCTGATGATGATGATGATGATGCAGAATCTTCTGAATAAGTACTTTGCCCACAGGGTCATGTTTGCCAATTGATGCAAAACTAGAATGGGCTGGTCAAAAGGAAGGTAAGTCTTGTTTTAATGTCAATGGTGTGAAATCCTGCCTTAAACTAACAAATGCCTCTTTTCTGTGCAGTGTTGTCAGCCATTGACCAATCTCTGAAACATGGCAATATGTTTCTACAGGCTCTGGATTCAAAGTTGAGCATACTAGCTAAAGGTAAATTACTGGGATGTTGGGTTAAAAACAATTTATTCAATGAACTAGTCAAACACTTGATAAAAATA